AAAGGATACCTATATTAAATTCTTCAACAAAAATTTTTCTATACATAGCTTCGTTTTTCGGTGTTACATTAATTTCTTGGCAGTATTCAAGATAAAGTTTATACATCTTTGAAACTGAAAGATCAGAAGATAGTACATAGATACTTTTTTGTAGTCTGCTCTCTTAAATAATGACTTTCACACACATGAAACATTCGAATATGATGTCTTATTATGTCTTTGTCTTCTTCTTTTGTTTTAGGGTGATTTCCATGTTTTCCTCTAGCATCGTCTGGACAAATCTGTGACTTAGAATTGCGCTTTTTCTCTACGATTATCCGTACTTTCTTTAATGATAGGTCAAGTGTTGATCTAAAAAAAGTTTGACAGACTTCAATTTTTTCTGTGTGCTTCTCGAAATAGTAAATTCTGGTGTAATGTCTCCTACTTTCTTCATTACTGCTTCTTAGCCTTTGTACTTTCTTCTTTATTTCTTGAATGTGACTGGCTATAAACTGATTTTGTGCCTCGTGTGATAGATAGATTGTAAAATGCCCTGAAAATCGCTTGCCTTTCCTCGTGTGAAAATTGTTCAAAGCATTTTTTCCTACATTTGCAACTATCTTTCAACGACTTTTCGGGTACTGTTTTACCTTTTATTGTTGTGTAAGCTTTTCCTTTCATTTTCAAACTCTTCCTTCTATTTTTGTCCCAATTATTTGGATTGCGCTTCCGTTTCCTACTCTCCTCACCTACTTGCACCCTTTTCCTTCCTCTTCTTTTATTATGCTCATTATTTTGTGGCTTCAATGTATTGTCCATCATTTCGCCAGAATCTGCCGTAATGTGTGTTACTTCTTCACCTAAAGTATTATCATTCTGATCAGAATCTGAATCATCGCTTTCATTCTCTTCTGGTTTATATTCATCATCAGAACTTCCTTCATAATCACCATCTATTTCATCGTTGCACATATTTTCTCTATAGGACACAGAGAACTGGTCCCTTGATCTTAACTGCAATTTATTTTGATTTTTAGGTACAGTACTGTTACTAGAATCTGCATTTCTCTGGATTTCTGCAACAAAACCAAAACTCTACAAGTTACTTACCTTAGTTCTCAACATAAACCAGAGGGGTTACCTGATGCTTTTCTATCCTCTGCTCTCTCTGAATGAGTGTCAGGATTAGGAGTATAGACGGTATTATTCATGGATTCTGTAATAAAAATGGTACTGCTAATTGTAATTCTTACGTGTAAGCAATTACCAATCCGTCCAGCCTAAATTATAATTTCATCACAAATCTTACCTTTACTTGACATTTCTGCCTCACAACACATTTTCACTAATTGTTTACCACGAGACAACATACTTGCACGCAAAAAATCGACCGAAGCCCGTAATAAAAGCCTCTGTTGCAACTTGCAATAAACGAATTCTAGGTTAAGTATAGGTTGTCAATCGGCCAATGTACGCCATCTGTGACGCCATCATGCGGTAAAGTTTTATGATAAAAAGGCCAATGTCAACTTTGGCCCATTTAGAAGCAAAAGTAATTGTTCGTATCCGGGCCTATGTCTACATTGGCCCTTTTTACTACAAGAAATCTGTTCTATCACAAAACAACTTAGGCCTTTTAGTACTTTGTATCTGTTTTCCTATTGCATATAGACATTGGCCCTTTTTACACATATAAATTTAGCTGGAATGTAGTTCCGTAGTACGTATAGGCCAATATGCAAAATAATTGACATTGGCCCTTTTAGAACCAAGCCTCAGATATATATATATAATTTTTTTTCATTTTCATTTTATTGCCTATATAGTGGGCCGAGTGTTAGCAATTCCCACTCACCCCACTATACAATCACAAACAACCATGCCTTACCTGGGATTCGAACCCAGGACCCTTGTAGCCAAAGTTAGAGCTACTAACGGTAAGCTCATCTACGCTAATATATATATATATATATATATATATATATATATATATAATTTGTAATGTGTTTTGTGTACGGATATCTTTTATTTGGATTACAATTACCAACATACTCCATCTAACTGTGAGATTCTTTGACCCCCACGGCTGTGGCTGCGAAATCTTGACCGTGAACGTTAATTCGATTTTGCATCGGTGGTCATAAGCTTGAGTTTTTTCTGCAGTGGTGCGATTCGAGCACGGTATTTCGTCAGGAATCCTCTTGAGTTATTGCTCGCACTGATAAAGTGGAATTATCGCCACCAGTAATGTTCATGATGTATGTGGTCAGCCATGTCGGCTAGTGCTCACAAATTGACGTGTCTCTTGGCAAGTACAAACGGAACTTGCTGTGGTAATCGTTGTAAAAATAGTCCCAGAAAAAAAATAATCCGGAATGGTTGTACTCCCTGCTAGTTGTCGCATTTCTCGGAGCAGTTGTGATGGTCGACGCTTGTCTAATTCCATCTCTGTTAAAATTTGTTTTTAAACGTTTTTCTTCGGTTTCCGTGAAAAGGTAGCCGATTCTTCAGGTCGGAATAAGGTTCAATGGAGATGGATTTTGTAGAATTGCGACGATCTTTCCGGTCTCTCTCGTTCCGTCACATACAAGAAAAAAATGCAAAAAAGACACGCATAAATATTTAATTACTGAATTATTCCAAGTACAAATACGGTATTACTGACGGAATTAAAATGTGCTTGAAACGGCGGGATCAGTCGACGGAGCTTCGGGCGCCACCAGACGTTAATTTCGCGCCTGGGCGGCGGACAGAAACTAACGGGACGGTTACGGCTGCCACAGGTGCTTCAATCGGAGAAATCGGTTAATCCAGGGCTTCGAAAAGGTACGGTAAAGACTGACGGTAATCTACAACAGAATTACGGACAACAAATTCCCAAAGCGGGAACGGCAAGTAATTAATTATCTAAATGAGAAAAATACAGAGGAAGAAACCCCTTTATAAATCCTAACGGTTAAGATAGTATCTCACCTCGGCGTAAAAACAGTCGGAATAACGAATTCAGCAAACTCTTCTAACCAACAAGATGGCTCCTCTCGTGCTCTTACCTATTTATTCATTCGTCAATTTGGGAAGGGAATATGTAGGAAAATCCAAATCGGACGGCGGCGTGTCGTTGCGAGAAGCTCCAAATTAAAACTTCTTTAATTAATTGTGTGGCCCACATAGGTCCTAAAAATCGCCAACCGGTATCTAAATTCCAATTAATTAAGCGCGCTTCGAATAAGACCGGACTCCACGCAATCGGACTAGGTTGGCTGCAACAGATAAGATTAGCTACCGGGATTTATTCTCACTCGGATGGTCGGTTTGAATTTTACAAATTCAGTAGTTCATTACTGCCCATCGTTTCTTGGAATTTGGGGTCACTTGCAAAAGGTCTGCGATAACGGAATAAATCGAACGACCTTGCAGCTTTTCATGCTCGTTTTAAAACAGAACGTAGAGAAACTGAAATCAATTATTAGCAAACGTGGTAAGCCAAATTTAAAGACCTTTCTTTGATAAATTTAATTTTTTTTCAAAAACATTCAAATAACTGATGTCCGCTTTTGGGCTTGTTTTGTGTTTTCGAATATGTAATGTCAACATCCTAGTCAACTTTTTAATAAAAGAGCTATGTTTCATAAATTTAATCTAATTAAGGTGATCACCAGTTTCGGATCAATATAATAAATCTGATGAAGGTTGCAACGTCAACCGAAATATATTAAATTTATCAAAGAATGGTCTTTATATATACAGGGTGGTGACTTGCGTCACGCATCATAGGGATTTCAATGTAAAATTCATAACATGCGATTATTGGCCCCCCAAATTATTTTAGAGCAAAAATGTATTAAGATTTTTTGTAGAAAAAAATTTTTTACGTCAATAAAATAAAACCTGCATCTTTTTCAATAATCTGCGATGCCATGGAATTTTCTAAAACAAAAAGATGTCCAGTTATCAATTAGCAGCAGTTCGAAATGGATTTTATGATCGACTTGGTTACTGTCTTGCAGTTAATGGTGACTTATTCGAACATTTATTGTAAATTATTATATTAGGAAATCGTTTTTAGTAATTTGGTCTTTCTTTATGTTGAATTCGCGGTTCTAAATATAATACTTTTTGATAGAATTTGATTTGTTTTATAGCAGACATTCCATGGCATGACGGATATTGTAGTTTTTGTATTATAAAATTCCATGGCATCACAGATTATTGAAAACGATGCGGGGGTTATTTTCCCAATTTTCTGTCTTCATTATGTAAAAAATTGGAAACTAACGCTGTTGATTGACGTAAAAAATTGTTGTCTATAAAAAACCTTAATACATTTTTGCTCTAAAATAATTTGGGGAGCCAATAATGGCATGTTATGAATTTTACATTGAAATCCCTATGATGCGCGACGCAAGTCACCACCCTGTATACCCGTTTGTGATCAAATGTTTTTATCGACGTTTAGCGACCCGTTGTGTGACGTCGCGAGGCGTCACCAAAATGCAAATCTCGGTAACGGAAAGTCGTAGGAGGGCATGAGAGGTATCGTCGGAAAGGTCTCGGCGGCGTGGTTACGATAGGTTAGGTTTAGTGTGGGACCTCCTCCTACCTCCCGGGGTGGTCGAGGCGGATCGAAAAAAATTCGAAAAGTGGTCACCCCTAACGGCTACGGATTCCGAAAGTGCCGGGCCCGTAGGTCGAATAAATTCCCGTCCAGGTTCGAAGAGGTGTTTTTTCCATGTCTTACGGGGGGGACTGGTCGAACGAGTTTCTTCGTTTTCACTTATTTTCATGTCCCAGCCGTGTCGTGTGAACTTGTCAAATTTTTATTTTTTATTTGTTTATTATATTATGTTTAATCAATGAAGAATATAAACAATACAATATTATGATGGATCTACTTCCTTTATTGTTGTATGACAGAGATAACATAATGTTAGTATTAGAAAACGATCGCAATATTAGCTGTGCATATTGCATATTTTTTTAGATTGTACATCTTTATTAATCCGATTTCTTGTTCCAGATGAACAAATTTAGAAGACAGCTGGCCGGATGGTAGAAATTTTTAATTTGCCAAGAATGAAAGGAAGTTGGAAAACGATCTTATGCTGTGCTAAACATTAAAACAAAATGGAATTACAAGTCTTTGAAATGCTAAGAAAGCGAGATTCCGAGTACTATCTGGACCTGAACGACACTCAATTCAATTACACCGATTTTTACATGAACAATACGTTTTACAGCGAATCTGATGAATCTCGATTACAACGTGTAAAAAATTTAATATTTCCGAAATGCTGGACTTGGATATTAATTTTTCTTCATTCGGTGGTGTTTATAATAGGATTAATTGGAAATATATTAGTATGTGTCGCTGTGTATAGAAATCATACAATGAGGACTGTAACGAATTATTTTATTGTGAATTTGGCGGTGGCAGATTTTTTGGTAATACTTTTGTGTTTACCTCCGACTGTTATTTGGGATGTCACATTGACGTGGTTCTTTGGGGACTTCATGTGCAAGACTGTCTATTATTTACAGGTAAGTTTTGTCAAAATGCCATTGCATGAAGGAACGTAGATAATTATAATTTTGTCTTACCCTCGTGGTGGACATTCTTTCTATTCACTACAACTACTTACGGAACTTTAAATTTAAGTAATAAATTTCCTTATAACGATTTCATATTTTATGCTGGTACTTGTACAGTGAAATGAACGCTAAAATCTTCCCACACCTAAAATAGAATAAAAAGAATGTACATCGATCTACATTATTATCTCGATATAAGCTGAAAACCCTTTGTTCTCTTAAAGAGCCCTTCCGCGTTCCTCACAATGTATGAGTGGGTTTGATTCTACATTTCGACACAAATTCGAAATATGACATGGAGAAAGGTACCTTTCAAGGGGCCATATCTGTATTTATAGAACCGCATCCTACCAATAATAAAGGATTTTAAGAGCCTGTAATGAACTTATATTTAGATGAAAAACGTATCATTGTTTAGTTGGTTATCAAAAGATTGTATCAAATAATTGGTAATTAGTAACCGAATGGAGAATTTTTGTAGGATACTCCCTTATGGAAACGGCACTGAAGTTTTGACGTTACATTGAAATATTATAAGTGATAAATTACGGACCATGGTGAAGAGGATAGATTTAACGGACAATAACATAGTTGATGTAAAACTAACACACGGCCAGCGGAGGGCCAAGCGAAAACCGCCTATACCAGAGACTTGCTATAACTAGACTGCGCTTAACGTATCTAAGGTGTTGTCGACACAGTATGCAACACACAATGCACCGCGGGGCAAAAATCGCTGAGATGATATGCAATATAATGAAATAAGCTGTTATTTTAGATGTTCCGTTCATTAATCATTCTCGTGATTAGCTCGAATTAGTGAACAGATAAATTTCTGTTGAGAATAAACCAATAAACTTAGGTTAACTTGTGCCTATCAACATGTACTCTGTCGATAAATTTTTAAATAATATGCTGATTTTCAACGGATAAAAGTTTAAAGGGCCAATGGATCAGAGCCATTCGAAGAGAAAAATTTACTCCCACCATAGTGCATTTGCGGGGAATGAAGCCGATTTTAGAAAGGTACCTACGAAGGTGTTAAAGAATAATGCAATACCGAGCGTTTTCGACTTTCCCATTCACTTAAAATAACGTAGAACTATTATTCGACATCCTTTACCAGCAAGACAACGGCAGTACCTATTTGCCTATTAGGTATAGACGTAACTAAGTACTTACTGGTACTAAGTATATTTCAGGTTTTGTTACAAGAAAAATAGCTAAGTCTGTTAAATGTTCCATATGTGCAGATGCGATATTCGCATCAGAGAGTCATTCAAAGCTTTTAACTAGAAAAAATCGTGGAGGATTGTTGCACGTATCAAGCGATGCATTAAAAATTTGCCAAATTGCTGAAAATGTGTTCAGGTTTTTCATTCAATCCACACCACACCGCGTTGTAAACAAAATGGTTATCAGCAGTCTAAGAAAAATAAATAACAGTTACAGCCCATTTGGGTTTTTGGATAGGCATATATTGAATCAAAATCCGCTAAATAATCATATATTACTACTTACATCTTTAGTTTTAAGAGTATATTTTCCTATACGTGTTCACCACCAAAATACACATATAAATCAAATTAGGACTAGAGTAAGGCAGTTATATACCAATTGCGTTCAAATAAAACACCAAAAAATTCGATTAAAACAGTTAACAGCTACATGTTATCTTTTTTTGCTACTAAAATTTAGAATAAACATGGCTAAAGCAAGCTGCAGAACGTACGTCTGCCCCGCGATGAACAGTTGGTTGCCTATCCTATCTTGACAACAGGCGTTTATAGTAAAATCTACGTTACGCGCGGTCTAGTTATAACAAGTCTCTGGCCTATACAAATATTAAAAACATTGTTTGTAATCTGAAACCATTATTGAATTAGATGTTAACTGAACAAAACGTACTTACAATTCATTGATGTACAAAGATTATCATTATTTAATTAAATTTTAATTTTTAACCCCATTGGGCAATTAACAGACCTCAGCTGAAGGCAAGTGACAAACACATACCAATACAATTTAATTTTGGGGAGCAGTATTACCAACAATTTTAAATACAAAGTGAAACCAAAATTTGAAAGTACAAGGCGAGTCAAAAAATTTTAATGGAAGAATAAGAAGTTATTGTTAAAGCCTTGAATTTCATTCAGGGATAAGTGAGCATTCTTTTTTAATTGAGCCCCGCAATCTCCAACATTTCCAGAAAGTTCATTTTCATACCCTTGTCGCAAATATGAAGTACAATCTTAAAATCCATATTTTTGTTAAAATGATGACCGGTTTGTAGGATATGAGCAGCAAAGGAAGATTTAACAGCGAAGACATTGTTGTTTTTTTATACATAACATAACATTATATAATAACACAGTTTAAAAGTATTGTACTACTGCATTTGAAAATCGGGAGATATACTAAATAAATCGATGTTATCATTAAATTTGTTCAATGCCTCCAACAATCGATTTCGAATGTTACGAATGTAAAGAGTTCGATTAGATCTCAGTTAAAGAAACCTCGAAGATCGAACGAATCTTTGAGAAATATTAAAGTAAATGTCAGACAAGATAGTAGGACAGTTTATGTGGCCGTTTAATAACTTAAAGCCGAATTGCAGGGTAAGTAGTGTTCTTCGATTATATAATCCAAGACTCGGTAGCTCAGTCAAGTAGTAGATTGTGGGAGTGGGTCACAATCGTAAATTGAGGTTTTTCCGGAGGGCGCCACTATATTTCAGCTTTTGGCAACCACTAGACAGTATCGAATATAGATAATACCAAAAGTGGTCAGCGAACTACTATTTGGGAGTTAAACAACTATACCAAGACCCTTCAAATAAACTTTAATGTCATATAGTGATTCAACAATACCCAGATTTGTAAATTATAGATACATTTTTTAAAAAAATTCTCAAAAGTAGGAACAAATTAGTTTTCCACAATATCTCCGTTTGAAAGTGCAACAACTCAATAATTAATTGCATCTACAAAAAAAAATGTAACAAAATGAATATTGAATATACAAATGCATAACTACCAAATTTCGTTCCAAGTGAATCTTCACAACAATAGGAAGTAACATCTACGGAAACGAAGAAATATTTTCCATACACCTTGAGCTGAAATAAACAATTACAAAATTTTGAACGAATTTCTGCTCCAATTTAAACTCGATAATTAAAATTCCCGTACTTAAATAAGTCTTCCAGTTCTAAGGCCCGGTTGTACAATGCCAGGTTAAACTTCAGGTTGGTTTAACTGACGGATTTCAGGAATACGATTGGTCAACGTGTGACATATTAGCCAATCAAATCCTTTAACCCACAATTCAACTATAAACTGAAGTTTAAACTGCCATTATACAATCGGGCCTTAATCAGTTATTTCAATTATTAAAAATTGACAACAGTTACGGTTTAAGTTGGCATCAGTAGATCGTTGAGTTTTATGACGATTGGCATTTCCGATACGACAATTTATAGTCGCTTTCCATTCACACAGAATAGCAGCTATCGATGACTGTGGGCTTTTAGCAATGCGTTCCTTTCATCTTAGGCGACAAGCCACAAACCTCACTTTAGCTTCTTACCTCTTTCCCCTCAAGCCCGACCATTTTACATCGCCACAATTTCACGCAGCGTCCAATAGTCAAGTGGAGCGCTACGTATCCACCCTAAAACAAAGCCTTCGATGTCTGGCCAAGGAACCAGGGTCAGCCAACACTAAATTACAAGAGTTTTTAGCTGCCTACAGAAGAGCCCCACACTCCACTACTGGTCAGAGTCCATCGATGCTATTCCTGGGACGGGAACCTCGATCTCAACTTTCTACATTTCGCCCTGATGTAACAGCGGAAGTGCAAGAAAAGATCAGGAAAGGACAGTATTCATTTGCAGACACTGTATTCCATACCGGTCAACGGGTGTACCATATACCCATATGTGGCACCATCTGCACCTGACCCGAATCCAACGGTTCAGACTCCGGTTGTGAACTCTGAAACCTCTACACCTCAGACTAACACACCTTCCTCGATACCTTCCGAACCTTTGGTAACTGATTCATCTACAGCAGCTCCGACGGTTGTTTTGTCAACTCCACCGCCAGTGCCACCGATCACAGCTGCTACAGACTCCGCTACACCACTCCGAAGATCGCAACGCTCAAGACGACCTCCAGAGCGGCTAAATCTATGACATACTTCTGAAATTACTGAACTATTTTCAAATTGATTCTATATAATCCTTATTACGTAGGGAGGACTGTGGCGTTTTCATACATGAATTAGGCGGCGGAGTTATCACACATTATCTCTTTAGGACATGGAGCACCATATCTTTCCCATTCATTCAACCAATAAAGGATGGTATTGGCATCGTGCTTTTCTGAAAGCATTTGAACGACTGGAATTTGGTGCGTGTTGGTATTCATAACCAATTCACATAGAAAAATATTTCTTGAACTTCCGTGTGGTCTTTGTAATCTTCTCACAAGAGTACCTGTAGAGTCGATGCATAATTTCACATAAGACGATTTAGCAAAGGATTTGTATATATGCAGCTGAGCCGGCGAATAATAGTGTATACTGAACTTGTCTACGGCGATATCATGAATGGCACCTACATATGGGTACTGGTATTTCATCGCACACAGGGCCACTACTGGGTCTTTATGTTTCACCACTTTGGATGCCTTGTCCTTATATTCCTGTTTCGCTTTTCTTAAAACATCGGCAGAATGTAGATCTGGTGGTTCTACGTCACCTTTGTCCATTAAACGTTCTGCTTCGTGTCTCCGATAAACCGCCACCGACTGATCTGATATTTTCATGCCAACTCTAGTCCAGTCAACCTGTTTTTAGTGGGAAAAAATAGTATAAAGCTAATTTTTTCTCCATCGACTACTAACATTTAGACAAGTGTTTAGCCAAAAGTCCCCGCCCCTACC